CATGAATATAATTTATGAAATGTAATTAAGCCAACAAGAAAAATGAAGTTTTTTTTCTCTGTATAGTGATTAAAGTCTTTTATCATTATAGAATACTCAAATATTCAAGACAGTCACAGCCGTATTTTTACACTGATATTTTGTGTTCTGTTTTCAAATCACAACAGCTGCAGTTTTTATTATAGCCTACATAAGGGATCGGCAACACGTGGCTCTGTGGCTCTTTCAGTGCTCTTTAGATTAGTAGGTAAAAATAAAATAATCCTCCTTTACAGTAAAATAAAGCTCTGCTGATCGTTCAACACAGTTTAACAATAAATGGTCTTAAACTCTGGAGTTAATGTAGAACTGCTGATTCACCCTTTAACCCTGAAGATCAGCGCAGACTGCTGGTCACCATAGCAACAAAGACAACAATCTCGCTTAGCTAGTAGCTAACGAAACGGCAAAGAGAGTGATTTAAGACAAACATCGATAATTTGGAGATGAATGGACTTATTTGTGTTTATAATCACTCCAGCTGGTTTCCTGATACATTTAATCTGCAACGAGAAACTGACAAACACTAAACTCACACTTCAAATACTCACAGCTTCCACTTCCTTCAGCACTTTGTGTTTGATTGACAGATCCTCAAACACTGCCTCTATCACCATGTCAGCCTTCTCGAAGCCGCTGTAGTCCAGCTGACCCGTCAGGAAGGACAGAGTCATGTCCCTCTCAAACGTTGTTATGCTCTTCTTCTTGGCTTTATCGTTCAATCTGATGGAGAGAGAGAGAGAGAGAGAGAGAATGATTGTACGTTAAATAAATAATAAAACATATATAAACGGAAGAGCAACGTACATAAAAGCAAAATAAAATCACAAAAAGGTAATTAAAGAGCTTAAGTGTTATTAAAATTAGCTTATTCAAGGCAAAGTGCAATGAGAATAAAGAGCAAAACAGCCACGTGAACATTAATTGTGATTGTTTTCAGTATATTAAACTATACAAATATTAGAAGTGGATCTCAGGAAATATATGTTACAAGCAAATGTAGGACATGGACCCTGTACAACAGGCCAACACTGCACAGGAACAACCTAAAGCCTATTTACTGTGGTCAATCGGCCGAAAAAGAGCTGAGGAGGAGCCACTAGATCTTCTCAGCTCACGCTAAACTTTCTGTCTCTGCCTTAGCTTAACTAACAATAGAGTTCTGCATTCAGTAAAATAAAAGGTGAGGTTAACTCTATGCTACAGCATCACTGCAGTGGCAAGTACTGTACTACTGTACAGATGTAAAGTCTTTGGTAAGAACTTCAACAGTTACAGACACAATAAAACACGATTCATGATGAATTATATACTTTAAGGGTTTAATAATTGTTTTGACCATCTACATTTGTAATGCTGTAAATCTATCAGTTCGACTAAGACCACCAGAAATGCCTCACTGCCCCCTAGTGGCTGCCTCAAGTTATCACAGCTTTCATTTAGACACTGTTGTCTGTCTCCCTCTAGTGGATGAAACAGTGTACTGCAGATTTTGTATGTATGTATTTTGTCATTGAGACCTGTCAGACTCGTGTGTGTGTGTGTGTGTGTTTGTGTGTCTCACCCCTTGTAGACCTGATCGTGTCCTCTGGCTAGTCCCTCTGCTGTTGTGTCCTTCAAGATAGTGGCCACGCCCTTATCCACTGTTACCTGGGCGATACCTGCTCCCATCAGCCCCGCCCCCAGGATCGCCAAGTTCCTGATCAATCACAAACAGGGACAGTTATTGCATCAACACTGAGAAATACCTCAGACATGCCGGTCCATTCAAGTCTCACCCTCGAGACTAGAGGCATGTGCATGTGGATATTGTGATGCCCGATAATGTGGTCAAAATAAAAACTAGTCACAGAACCCGAAACCTGCCATAGCCTGAAGCTGAAGCATTAGATTTATCTTAAGAACAGTCTCTAAGGTAGCTTATAGCAGCCTTAAAGGGGAACTTGACTGATTTTTGAAAAATTTCTTCATAATTTAATCCTTAAGCAGTCAACAAAGTCATTCAGAGTGGTTTGGTGTGAAACGCTCAGTTCTAGAGAAACTTCAGTCGGAATCATTCACAGTGGTGGTGATAGGAACCAGACGTCCACCTCTAAAAGCTCCCTCACAGAAAGATATTACATGAAATGTCTGACACATTGTTTTAGGATAGTTTTGAGAAGATTTTGGCCCAAAACGTATATTTTTAGATACATTTACGTTGGGGAAGTACTATAGGCTATATTTGTGCTGTCGTCATGGAGACCCCTGGTTCCTCCCACCACCACTGTAAAGAAATCAGAGTTGGTCAGCTTTTCGGAAAAGCCACATTTTGCATCAAACCACTCTGAGCGACTTTGTTTACATCTCAACCACTGAATTATACAGAAATTTGGAAAAATCAGTGGAACTGCCCTTTTAAGATGAAGCCTACCAGACCAGTATTTCATATTTTCATGAGCTCTATCCTATTCTATTCTATTTCAGGACTAAGGCTAACTGAGCACTGAAGGCATTTTAACAGAAAAATCATGATCATCTCAACCACCGAATTATGCAGAAATTTAAAAAAACAGGTGGAGTTCCCCTTGTCATCATAAGGACACCAGTGAAATAAGCAAAGAACCATTTTTTTCACAATATTATTACATTATTACACGTAAGTCAGAGACATTGTTTTCCAACCGTTTTGAGAAGATTATGGTTTAAAATGTTTTTTTTTAATGTATTCAATGGTGGAGAAGTATTGTAAGGCAAAACAGTCCCTAAAGAAAAATTGGTGGATTTCTCCTTTAATCATACACAACTGAGAGGCTGTACTTTGTTCTGTTAATGTTTTCTCAGCATCAGACAGTCATTACCAATGCAGGCTTATAAGCATTAGTAAAGCTTGCTAATTAAACACTATGTTTAATGATTACGTCTGAAAATACTTGAACCACCACAAACATTTGAAACATGATGTTATATAGAATTAAAGATTTCAGACTATTAAATAATAATCATGAGAAAGCTCTGCAGCCAGACGAGGCTGAGGCTGTTCCTGGAGTAAACTTACTTCACTTCTCTCTCCGGTTTTCCAAAGTTGTTCTTCTTGCAGGCCACCTGACCCTGATACAGGCCAATCAGAGCTCTGCTCTCGGGGGTCATCGCCAGCTTACCGAAGTTCTACAATACAAAAAGTAAAGAAAGAGGTTAAAAAATGAAAAAGAGTGGGCGAAGAAAATGAACCACAAATTAACTTACACACCCGGTTTATGGTGAGTAACACTAACATAGTGTCATAAAGCAAAGTTGAAACACCCCAGATTTCCTAGGTGAAACTTTTTTTGCTAATTTTAGTGACGATTTATATTTGTTTGCTGAGTTTAACATGTTGGGAAAACCAGAAGGAGTGAAAGCTGAAATGAAGCGTGTTCAGTGCTGAGTGGAGCTCTGAGCCACAGCTGAGCGATCACAGTTAGTTTTTCAGAGGATTTCCTGCCTCTGATTTTTCCTCTATCAGCTCAGTATGAGCTCCACACCAACACTCACTGGCAGAGTGACGTTCTGCTCTCTTTTCTGTTGTTCTTTCATCTCTATCTCTCTCTCTTTCTTTCCTTTTTCTTGGTCTCTATCTATTCCTTTCCTTTTCTTTCCTCTTTTCTTGTTTCCCTTTATACTTTTTCTTTCTTTCTTTTCTACCCCTCTTCTCCCTTCACTATACACACTTTCATTCATTCTGGTTTTCTCTTTCTTCCCCCTTTCTCTATCCTTTTTTCCTTTATTTTCTCCCCTTAATCTCCCTTTTTTTCCTCTTTTCTTTGTTCTTTCCCTCTTTAGCCTTTTTCTTTCTCTTTCTTTTCTCCCTCCTCCCTGCACTATACATCCTTTCATTCTTTTTTTCTGTCTTCCTTGATCTGTTTTTCCCCTTTCTTTTTCTTTTCTGTTTTTCCCCTTTCTTTTTCTTTTCTGTTTTCTACCCCTCTCTTTCCTGCACTTCCGCTCCTTCATTTTCTTTCTATTCTCTTTTCTTCTCTCGTTTCTCTCTCTTTCTTCCTTCTTTTCTTTATCCTTTTTCCTTTCTTTCTTTTCTCCCTCCTCTCCCTTCACTATACATGCTTTCATTCACATTATTTCTCGTCACTTTCTTTTCTTCCTCTCTCTCCCCCCTTTACTCCCTCTCTCCTTCTCGGTGCTGAGTTTATACAGGCTGTTTATGATGAAGGGCCGACGCTTAATTCAGAACAAGAGCGCTTGAATCAGTGGAACTGCCACTGACCTGAAAGTGAATGCGTGGAATGTGTTTATTTGGCTGTTCAGACGAGAGTTCGGAATTTGACAACATCATTTTTAAACACAGACATCATTTTTAAGCACGTGGTACACCTTAATCCCGCCACACTGCTCTCCCCTACCCCTGCTTCAAATATCTACGGCTGGTTGAACTGATTCTAACAGCTAAGCAGCGCTAAGTCTTTGGTGGGTAAAGAAAAAAATAAAAAAGTGATACTGACCACTGACTCTACATGGTATCCTTCAGCTGGACCCTTCTCCACTCCCACCTGCACAGCCTGACACACAAACACAGGACATTAGCAGCACGGCACATTATATATGTTTGAACATATGCACATCAACATATATATATAGCAGAGCTGATGTTATACAGTGCTGTGAATAAGTATTTGCCCCCTCTTGATATCTGCACATTTGTCTTAAAACAAAAGACAACTTGATTAAACACATAATACAATGTTTTATCATCATTTCATTTACTGAAGGAAAAAAAAAAAATCCAACATCAACTTGCCCTGGGTGAAAAAGTAATTGCCCCCCACTGTTAGACAACCAATGAAACAAATTTAGTTGATAATTTGGATTAATTAAATTTGACATACGCAGGCTTGATTACAGCAAAGCCCTTCTGAACCTAACATGTCACTTAAACAGGAGCTTTCTAACAATGATGTAGGTTAAACAAAGCAGCACACTAGGATCACAAGACAGTCCAAAAGAGACGACAGAGTTATCAAAATATGTCAGTCGGGAAACGACTAAAGTTCTGAGGCTCCACCAAACCACAGTGAGAGCTTTATCTCCAAATGGAGAAACCTTGGAACAGTGGTGAACCCCTGAAAAGTCCTCCGAGAGCATGGTGACAACTCATCCAGGAAGTCCAAGAACACGGACAAACATCTACGGAACTGCAGGCCTCGCTCACCTCAGATAATGTCAGCGTTCATGATTCCACATTAGAAAGAGACCAAGTAAAAACTAGGGGTGGGCTAAAATATCGATACAGCGATACAACTTATAGCTTTCTTTTGCGATACGTTATCAATACGCTGGTGCCAAATATTGATTTATTTATTGAAACATGCATGTGCTGTAAACACTCTAAACAGACTCCTCCTTCAATCTGATTTACCAGACTCACTCTTTCATGTCTCCCCATGGTGGCGCTAAGGCACTAATGAACAGGGTAAACCTGCCGTGAAGGATAAACAAAACAAAAAAAAATCTCTCAGGGAGAAATAGCAGGCAACAAACTGTCTTGTTGAAGTACACGGGCAACAGAACGAACATGCATAGCCACCTTCGTCATCATCCTGACCTGGTTGTTGAGAAAACGGCTAACGCTGCCACAGCTCGAAGTCAGCCTACAATCAATACAGTTTTTAAAGCAGAACTTCCTTGTACGTCCCTGAGGGCTACCAGTATTTTGAGAGAGCAATGTGTATTTTTGCATTAATGTATATTTTTATATACGTTTATTTTTTGTATTTTTTCACACAGTTAATAAACATTTTAGTCAGAACTGTTCTGCTTTCTGGCAGTTTATGGCTATTTTACATTGGAATGATGACACGCAGTCAGTGTATGTGTGTTAAAGAGGCATGAAGCTAAGCTTGCCTTTTGAAATAATATTCTGTGGACTGACGAGTCGAAAGTAGAACTTTTTTGAAGACGTGTCCCATTAAATCTGGTGTAAAGATAACAGAATTCCACACTAAGAACATCAAACCAACATGGTGGAGGTAGTGTCATGGTGCTGCTGCTTCAGGGTCTGGCTGGCTTGCCATAATTGACAGAAAAAGAAGAGAATGTCCTGTCTGGTCTTCAGTCTGTGATCTGAAGCTCAAGCACAATTTGGTTATGCAGCAAGATCTAAAGCACAAGAGCAAGTCCACCTCTGAACGATTCAAAAAGAACCAAAACTAAGCTGACTTAGACAATATCCTGACTTGAAACCCCACTGAGATGCTGTAGCACGACCTTAAATGGGCAGTTCAGGCTTGAAAGTCTTCCAACGAGGCTGAATCAAAGAATAGTGGGCCTGAATTCCTCCACAGTGATGTCTGATGACTGACCTTCAGATACAGGAAGCTGTTTGGTTGCAGCTGTTGATGAGATCTGCCCTTTTTTATTGTGCATTGTAAACGGTGAACCTAAGTAAAGAATGTACACGTTAGTAAATGTTTACCTCTATGATCTTGAGCGGTGCTGGATAAAGGCCTTTGGTCTGTTTCATCACTTTCTGGGTGACCGTTTTGTAGACCTGCTTCCTCACTAAGGGAATTCCCAACACTGCGTCCTGCACCTCTGACACACACAGACACAACCCGTCAGTAACCGAGGCGGCTGTGCATGACCGTCACAAGAACAGCGAAATATGAAAGTTCAGTATTCATAGGTGTGAAGTTCAGAGATGTGAGTTACTCTGCATGAGGCCTTTCTTCTTCTCCACAGTCACGGTCTTATTAGCCAGGCCTTTAGCCACGCCCACTGCCACCTCCTCCAGATAGTCTATAAGCCTCTCCTCAGGGTCCTTCACACCCTGGACCTGCAGAGAGAGAGAGAGAGAGAGAGAGAGAGAGAGAGAGAGAGAGAGAGAGAGAGAGAGAGAGAGAAAAGAACAGACAGAAGGGAAAAAGAAAAGAGAGAGACACAGAGGAAAAGAGACACAAAGAAAAGAGGGGAAAAGAAGAGGAGAGGGAGAGAGAGAAAAAAAAGAGAGAGAAAAAGAAAAAAGAGAGACAGGGGAAAAAGAATAGGAGAGAGAAAGTAGAAGAAGAGAGAGAGCAAAAAGAATGAGAATGAGAGCAAGAAAGAGGAGAGAGAAAAGAATAGGAGAGAGAAATAGAAGGAGAAAAGAAACAGAAAGGGGAGAAAGTGAGGATAGAGAGGAAAAGCGAGAGAGAACAAGAGAGAGAGAGAGAGAATTAAATAAATGAATAGTCCTGAAGCTGCCAGTCTTGCTTTGAAACATTTTCGTTTGAAATAAAGGTCTTTTAGGTCAAAATAACATGGAGGTAATTTCAGGACTTGATGACGTTGGCCTGTTTACATGTCTGTGATTGTACAAGACTTACAAACCATTTATAAATTAAAAAAAGTCAAAAAAGGGTTAAAAACACTGCTCTGACCTCGGGTAGGCTCTTCCAAAGTAACTGTTTGAGCTCACAGTTTGCTGGACTGTGCTATCAAAGCTAATTAAAATTACACGGAGTGGAACATCGACACATTTAACACCATGCTAATGTTAAAGATCCACACCCTCCTCACACAGAACATCATCTAAAATCACTAACGGACTCTACATGATGTCCATCCTTTCACTCAAACTGAGATGTGCACTTCTAATTATGTTGAATGGGATTTTTGTCATTGTTACGTAAAGCTTGCCCAGCCTAGCAACGGCACAGACTGATGAATTAGGGGGCGTCTGTAAATTCCTAACCGTCTTACCCAGTGGGTCGATCACATGGTGGACGAGGCCCATCTTCTTCGCCTTGTCTGCTCGAATGCTCCTGCCAGTCAGCATCACATCAAATGCAGTAGGAAGACCCAGCTGGACATAAGATACAAAATTAAATAAGTAAGGAAACAAATAAATAATAATAAGCTGAATGATTAATCGAAAGAGTGCAATAACCAACATTATTCAACATTGTCTCGAAGCTCAGCGGCGTCAGATTGGGAGTTTTTCACAACACATCGTAGGTATTTACGTTTTAACGTCACACGCGCAGACTCGAAAAAGAAGGTCCGGCTCGATATTTAGGTCTCAAACGCAAAATCAACATTATACTGACGAAGAAATGATACAACAGTAGATAATTCACTCACATCTTCAGAAACCACGTCCTTCACCAAGTTTCGACTGAGTTCTCTATGAATTCTCTTTCAATGCGCTCACAATCATCAGATTCATCCGCTCGGGGAAGGGGTCCGAAGCACAACCAGTGTTACAAAATCTTCCGCATGTTGCATGCAGTTACACGTTTCCACCAGAGAGGTCTCCAAATCCCCAAATCTTACAAAGTGCAGCTTTAGATTTTAATTGGGGAAAGTGTTCACAAGCCAAAGAAATGGATGTGCTGGCCTACTTGGTGGACAAAAAGGCCTGCAGCTATATTTAGAATAAATAGAATCTAATTTAACGATCAGAAAAATTGCAATTAGTTATTTTCCCTAAATCGTTCAGCCCTACCACCAAGAGGAGAACAGAGTCAAAGACCTTAAGAACTTAATTTATTTTTTTACTTAATGTCTTATATTCTGAGATGACCTGAACGCAGCAGGGCTCTGAAGGGAGCGGCTATAAATAGATGTGCAGATTTGGGACTGATTAAATGGCTCTGTGAGTCAGAGAGTCTGAGAAAAGTCTCACCATTTTGGGCATTCTCTGAGTGCCTCCGGCCCCCGGCAGCAGCCCCAGCATCACCTCCGGGAAGGCCATAGCCGTTTTCTTACTCTTAGTGGCCACACGGTAATGACACGCGATCGCAAACTGAAACAGAGACAGAGAGACCACTATTAACCTGAAAGGGTGGGGAAAGGTGGGTAATAAGACATCATTGTCACAATAAACTATTTTATTAGGCTTTTTTAAGCACATAATGGGTATCAGCAGTACTTAAGCCCTACAGTGCAATAATGTCTCAGGGTAAAAATTCAAAATCGATTAAATATGTTTGCTGCCAACACGGCGCCACAGTGGAATGGATATGGCTACACTATAGGTCTGCCCACCTCTAACTCATTTACCTTATTATTCGATGAATTGATGGAGGTGGAGCAGAAAACATCCATCCAACTACTCATCCATCATCTACCCAACCATCCAACCAACCATCCATCCATTAAACTAATTATTAAACCATTTATCCTATTCATCCATCCAATCATCCATTTAACAACCCATCCATTCATCCCCTGACCCCTCCGTTCAACAATTCATCCATCCAACATAGATCTACTTACCCGTTCATTCAACCCATCCATCCATTCAATTATTCATCCATACAACCACTCATCCACCCATCCACCCACACATTTAACCATTCACTTATTTATCCATCCATCCACATAACCCACAAATTTAACCATCCAACCACCCACACCTTCAACCATCCATCGATCCATCCAACCATCCACCCACCCACACCTTCAACCATCCAACCATCCATCCATCCACCCCCACATTCAACCATGCATCCATCCATCAATCCACCAACAAATTCAACCATCCAACCATCCATTTACTCAACCACCCTCACAACCAACCATCCAACCATTCATCCATCCATCCACCCTCATATTCATCCATCCATCCATCCAACCAACCATGCAACCATCCACAAATCCACCAACCCAAGAATCTACCCATCCATTCCCTCCTCTTCTCTGTCTTCTTTGTCTTACCTCCAGGCCGCCACCCATACAGGTGCCATTAATAGCTGCCACAAAGGGGATGGGCGATTTCTCTATCTTCTCAAACATCATCTGTCCTTCCTTTGAGAGCCCAGACACTTCTTCTGCACTCTTACAGGCCTTCAGCATACTGAGAGAGAATAAGGGATTAATCCCAGTCACAAAGAAAACAATACATAAAATCGTGCATGTCTGTGAGCGTATCTGCACGTAATCATACACACAAACGTTCAAACTGTTCAGAATCAATGTTGACACAGATATATAACCAATTTGGTTACAGTTAGATACATAAAGTCAATCTAATATTCTAGTATTAACTGTTTTAAATAGTTAGTAAAAAGCCTGGAAGCCAGAAAAAGAAGTGTCAGATGTGTCTAGATGATGAACAGAGTTAATGATCCTATAATGAAGAAGTGTGTGAATCATACTCGAGGTTGGCCCCTGCGATGAAGCAGCCTGGTTTGGTGGAGATTACCACAGCGCTCTTTACTGCACTGTTCCCCCAAACCTCATTCAGCACCTCCATCATATCATCCTGCAGCTGCCTCGTCAGCGTGTTCACCTGCACACACACACCCACACACACACACCACACACACACACACACACACACACACACACACAAACGCTATTACCTGCAAAGTTCTACACAAATTATTAAGAGCTGTAATTACAAATGCAGAATTTCAGTGGAGCTCCTACACTGTAACTTCAAGGTTGGTTAAAACTGGTGCTAAAGGCTACGTTCACATTACAAGCCTCGTTGCTCAAATCCGATTTTTTGCTCAGATCCGATTTCTCTGACACGATGGTTCACACTCATTTAGGTGATTCAAATCTGTCATTAATGTGACGAACCGGCGTCCTGAAATGACCCTCATGAGCTCATCCTACTCAGTAACGTCACGTGAATGAATCACGTTCATCATCAGCACAAACTAACGAGCAGAACGAGCTTCGCTGAGAAGATCATTAACTCTGATCAGCTCTCAGCTTCATTATTAGAGCGAGACGAAGGAGAAAAAGGTGAGATGAGCTGCTTTTCCACCATTTACAGGCTTTACTTCTGTTCGGAGCTACTGCCATGGTAACGCTGAATGATGGTGCAGTGGAACAAAAGCACATGAATTCCGAGCGTCACATTAAGGTCACATGGCCACAAATCGGATACGTATCTGATCTAGGACCCCATATGAAAGCGGCTCAGGTCGGATTTGAAAAGATCAGATTTGGGTGTCCACACAGCCCTGAAAACATCAGATCTGAGTCACATTAGGGCAAAAAATCGGATTTGTGCCACTTCAGCCTGGTAATGTGAACACAGCCAAATACACTACCGTGTGTGGTAGAATTCCATTCAGGCTTCAGTATCAAATAATCAATACTTATGTAGTCTTATCAGTATCAGCTAGCCAATAAGCAGGCCTGTTCCAAAATCTAGACTGCTGATTGGCTGTCCAAATGACATTCCATAACAACTTTATTAGCGTCAGCAGTCTGTTAAACAAATGCATAGTTTTGTTGTGGGAACAAAATCTTCAAAAAAAAGACAAAACCTTCTTAACTTTCAAAGTACGTTAATGTAGAAGGATTTTATTCCAAGTAATTTTGCACCATTTCTGTTGAATGAAACTGAGTTTTCAAATTATATATATATAAAAAATGATGTTATTTGCTTAACATTTACTTTTTATTCTTTAATATGTTGAAAAAAATAAAACATTAATTGTGGCCTGTATAGTTTATGTTTTATTTTTCCCAATACATTAAACTCAGTAAATAAACAGAAATTCTGCACTTAAACTGACAGAAAAGCGCCATATTTATGTGCTCTCTGTAGAGGGTGCGTTCTCTTATTTTCACCTAGAACATTTTTTTAATTAGAATTTTTCATTTTTCACCACTTTTTAGGTCCTTTCCTAAGTTAGAATAACTGATACAACAAAAAAAATATAAACTGTTTTGTAAAAAATATACTTTTACTTATCGCTGCTGTCGGAACAAAACCTCGTATGTCCAAAATGATAACTTTACAGGAAAAGGAAAAACATATTTTTTTGGTCCATTCATCATGAAATTTACACACAATGTAAAGAGCAACACACATTTTCAAATTATATGAAAAACTGAAAAATGGTGACTCAAGGTTTTGTTCTGACAGCAACGATATACTTAATACTTACATATTAAAAATGCATGTAAGATTTTGTATTTGAAAGAAAGGACTGAAAGTATCAGGAATCAGCAGCGTGCTAGTACGCTAACAGGAATGACAGAACAGCGAGGTACAGATGCTGACCTTGGAGGTGGGATCGTTGATCCTGATAACTGCCACATTATCTTTGACCTCATAATTAACATGAGTACGAGCTGGAGAGGAGAAAAGAGGAACCCGCTTATTAGACATAAACATACTTATATTCATATTATTAAATATTTATGATGCAATTATATGGTTTAACAAGATTTCTATACTTGCCTGACAAAGCTGCTGACGCAGACAGGCTGCGGCGTCCATTCACTGAAATAAATGAATTAGTTAGCAGTAATAAAGCCATTTTTATGCACAAGCATTACATTTAAAAATGTGAACAATACTGGATCCATAAGGTTTGTTTGCGGCCTTGAAATCAATTTAACCCACTGATGTTTAATTAATATTGAAATTATTATTTTAACAAAACAGAAAACAATAATGAGATCAGAGAGTGAAAATTTCATGTAACCAAAAAATTTCCAATGAACATTTTTAGAAGTGTGTGACCAGGGGTGCCCAAACTTTGTCTTAGCAGGGCCAAAGTGCAACATTTGTGGTGTGGCAAGCGGCAAAAAAGACAAAATAATGTAATACAAATAGAAAAGGCAGGTAGCTTTTGACATTTTTTGACATTTTTTCCCATGTTACTAAAATTTCATACAGAAAATAAGAACTTAACACGCTGTAAATGGCATATAGTCCCATAATAAGTGGTATAGTAGTATTGTAGAAAAAGTAATAGTACTGTAAATAAAGTACAAATATGTTTGCTTCCTCTCTAGGTGAGGGGGCAGCGTTGGCCAAATCAAACATCTTTGGAACTTTGGAACCTGTGACTAAAGTATTCAGCTGCTGTAGATTCACAATTGCTTTAGTTAAGGTTTATGTAAAAAGCTGCACTTTAACAGGCAAAACCTTCCAATCTTTTCTGATCAAACTGAAGGACAGGTGTTACAACACGTTCTGTGGCATTCTTATCTTTCTAAATATAGTTTCTGGATATGAACAGGTTTAGGGAGGAAAGACAAAGACAAACTTCAGTATAAACCATATCACAACGCAGGATATGAAAATGACTCAGATTGTTTGTGCACTCTAACCCAAATACTGTAGAGACAGATACGGCATGACCTTTGGCCTAATTACTTTCTCCTTCACCTCACACTGTCATGAGGTAATGGAAACATACACATCTTCTGTGACACTAAACAGAGATTATAACACAACCAGTTTAGTTGGCATGACCGTTGTATTAACATGTGCTATTCCTGTGTCTGTTTAGGACACTAGAAACAAGAATGAATTTATCAGAATGAACCGCATGTCATCTTAAAGGAATCCCACCGTTTTGTCAAACTTCCCTCATAATAAAATGGTTAAGATGTAAACAGAGTCATTCAGAGAGGTTTGGTGTGAAATGCTCTGTTCTAGAGTCAGAATTGTTCACAGTGGTGGTGATAGGAACCAAACGTCCACCTCTAAAAGCTCCCTCACAGAAAGTTACTACATGCCTGAAACATTGTTTTATACACACACATACATATATATATATATATATACACATATATATATACACACACACACACACACACACACACACACATACACATATACATATATATATATATATAGGCTGTAACTGCATTGTAGTCATGGCGACCCCTGGCTCCTATTACCACCACTATAAAAAAAAAAAAAAGTTGGTAAGCTTTTCTGCAATGGCACATTTTGCATCAAACCATTCTGAGCGACTTTGTTTACATCTCAACCACTGAATTATACCGAAATTTGGAAAAATCTGTGGAATTCCCCTTTAAGATGAGGCCTACCGGACCAGTATTTCATACTGAGCTCTATTCTATTCTATACTATTCTAACACATTCTAGGACTAAGGCTAACTGAGCACTGCAGGCATCTTAACCCTCACATTATTATTATCTCAACAACTGAATTATGCAGAAATTCTGAAAAACAGGTGGAGTTCCCCTTGTCATTATAAGGACACCACCGAAATGAGCAAAGAACCATTTTTTGAAATACTATGCACAAAACCTGTCAACACACACTGAAGTGAGCTTAACTACATGTTACATGGTGTAGGTTTGGGTCACTATGGCTGCGTCTACACCAGCATATGGCCATACCTAAAGGGGAACTCCACCAATTTTTCAACAATTCTACGTAATTAAATGGTTGAGATGTAAACGATGTAATTCAGAGTGGTTTGGTATGAAATGCTCTGTTTTAGAGAAACTAAAGAACTGTTCACAGTGGTGGTGATAGGAACCAGACGTCCACCTCTAAAAGCTCCCTCACAGAAAGTTACTACATGAAATGGTTATGAATTCACTGCCTGATGCCTGAGACACTGTTTTATGGCAGATTTGTGACATTTGGCATAAAATGCATTTAGTGGTGGAGGGATACATGCAGGGCATTGTGAGGCAAAACAGCCCCCAAAGAAAACGTATTTTTTCTAATTTCCACTATTTTACCATCACTGACATTCCATATAAACTCATGTAGGTTCACTGGTGGTTTTGGATAAAATGTGATAAAATGTAAATAAAATGTCTACATTTGTGTCGTAGTCATGGCGACCCCCGGTTCCTATCACCACCACTGTAAAGAGTCTCTACCATGAACCACTTCACACCAAACCACTCTGAATGACATCTCAAGGACTAAGTTATTCAGAACTTCTGAAAAGTTGGTGGAGCGCCCCTTTACCAGCATACATATAGAACACCAGCATTAGCACTACACTTATCAGACTCTTTAAGAGCCTTCAAGGGTTCTGTAGTCAAGAAAATGGTTCTATATAGAAGCATGAACACTCAAAGAACCCAGTGCATGATTTAAGGGTTCTTTGCATCGTGAAAGGGTTCTTCAGATTGATGGAGAACGTGCTGTAGATGGTTCTACTATTGTTGCAAGCCAAGGAACCCTTTTTGCTGAGAGTGCATAGCAGCTATGTACAGTATATCACAGTATATACAGTATATACAGTATATTACAGTGTACTGGTTTGGTTTTTCATCTGATTTCTCATATTTTGCTCATTTCTGGACGAGAAAATCGAGAAGAGAACCAAAATAAAACTTCACTGCGCATTAAAAACGCGTGTCCACTTCAGAGAGTTACATACAGAAATACACAGGATGACTTTGATGCACTTGGGTTACAGAGCGGTATGCTGGTCATGCACCTGGTCACCCAGTTCCTCCTAGCCCCGCCCACCGTCCCTGAAGAAGTGGGTGAAAGTTCACCCGTTCTCCTCCTCGGCCAGCAGGGTCGAATAAGGTCAGTAAATGCCACTCTAGCTTCTGCACTAAAGCCGAATTCACTAAATAAGCACAAAGACGTGCAAAAGCTACTCGCGCCACCTGCGCCTCGCGTGCACCCACCTGAGAAATGCCCGTATCTGCTGAACGCAGACCTCACCAGCGCTCCCGCCGCTCTCGCGCTCGCCATCGCAGTCCTAGCTTCACTCACACAGACCGTGAAGCGAAAGCGCGAGCTTGAACCCCCCGTGAGCGCGAGCGAGGACCCTGTGGCGCTGCCTGTGCGCTGCGCTGCGTCATTAAAGTGGTTTTTTAAAGCTCGCGCACATGCAAATCAACAGTCCGCCTTTTCTAAGTGCGTATGTGTTTGATTTGTGAGTCTAATTAAACGTGTTCAGCTCTATTTTAAACGTTTGCAGACTATTTCAGTCAGGCAGGCTTCAGGTGTCCTAAGGTCGGGTCTTTTAAGCTGCGCTTTTTTTTTGTAGTCGTTTGTCATCTCGGTTCAGACTCAGGAAGACAGCGGCGGCGCAGACTTCGTTTTACAGCAGAAACCACGCAGGTAGCGCAAAAACAGACTTTTGCACACTTTAATAACTGAACCTGTTTCACCGAAGGCATGCAGCTTTGTGCACATGCGCAGTGAGCGCGTCGCTGAGCTGGGATCAGTGCGCTCAGGAGCTTCAGACTCTCACTGTGTTACGTCTAATACGTTTTTTAAACATCTAATATTCGCATTTGTGTGTTTTCTATGAGTGTTTATGCGTTGTGAGTGGACAGTCACTGTTAGTGTCGCAGTGTGGTCAGTTTAGATCTGACTGTCCTTGTCATCCAGCACACTGGCTGGAGAAGTAGGTGAAGGGTCACGGGCTTTTTACCATTGAGCTGATCAGGTTCAGTTACAAAGAAGGCACCTAAAGTATTCAGCTGCTGTAGATTAATAATAATAATAATAATAATAATAATAATAATAAATAATCAACCAAATATAATAAAGATAAAACCAATAAAAATAAAAGTGGATTAACTTAAAAAAAGAGGACATCACATTTGTTGGTTGTTAAAATGTTAACAAATTTTCCCATAATTCCACATATTTTTACAATTTTTTTGCATAATTCTGTTGTTGTGATGTCCTTCAGAGTGGTTTGGTGTGAAATGGTTCATTGTAGAGACTTCTCTATAGTGGTGGTGATAGGACCTGGGGGTCGCCATGACTACAACACAGATATAGACATTTTATTTACTATCCAAAACTATTGTAAATCAGTGTCTCAGACATCAAGCAGTGTATTCATAATCATTTCTGAGTGACCCTGTTTACATCTTAACCGCTTAATTCTGTAGAAATTTTGAAAAATTGGTGGAGTTTCCCTTTAAGTAAATAGAAACTATCGCATTCGTATAGTATTCAGAAGTTGGCATGTTTTCCTACATTTTTTCATATGTATGTGTGTGTGTATATATATATATATATATATATATATATATATATATGTATATGTGTATGTGTGTGTGTGTGTGTATATATATATATATATATATCTCACACACACACACACACACATATAAATTAAATAAAAAATGTGGGAAAACATGCCAACTAAAATAATGTATTATTTTGTACATAATTGTATTATTTACAAATAAATGTAAATAATACAAATCTATTGTGTTTTTATGAAGTACATGGTCAAAATGATTAGTGAGTCTCGTTCTTCTTCAAATGACTTATTTTGTTGATTTTCTAAGTGAAAATAAGTTAATAAGTTTTGAATTCTCTGTTTTTGTGATCTCAGTATGACATCGAGAATCAACTCATTTACATATATCCACCTATTCAGCCTCTAGCAGTTTAGACCTGCCTACTCACTCTGACAGAGTGTTTCGGTCTGGACTGCTTTTTGAATAAAGCGCAGAACAGGGCAGCCAATCTGAACAGAGCTCATTTGCATTTGTCAGCCTCAAAGGCGCAGAAACAAAAACAACCTGCTTAATTCTAAGGGATAAAAAAGGGTCATGTGAAAATGAGTCATGACTGTTTTTGGTGTATAAGAATGCCATTCACATGAAATAAGTTACAAGAGAAATGTAAGATATGCAACACACCTGTAGACTGAACACGTGCACATTCAAATTCAACCAAACCAACAATCAATACTGAAGAAAACATCATAGTGCAGGCTATATAAATAAAAAAACTAAGATGCATCAGGAATTGTTTTATATTTGTATCTTGAATTGAAATTGAATCCTGAGTTGTCGAGATTCCCACCTCTATTATTTATTTGGGCTCATTTGATTAAACAAAACACTGGAGATACTGGAGAAAGAGCAGCTCAGGTCCTGTTTGCTGAAACTACAGTGAAACAATAAAAGCCGCTTCATCTCTGGTGACGTTGTGTGGTTTTCATTATCTGCAGTAACACCGTTGTTGTTTATTATTGTTCATCAGAATTAAAGGATGGCGTCTATGTTGATGAATTCTCTGAGGACCTGCCCGGTGAACTCCTCCAGGGCGCTCCAGTTTGGTAAGCAGCTTTTTTTCTCCGATTGGGTTTTTTTTATTTCAGGTGGTTAACTTGATAAGAAATTCTAAAAATTAGCAATGCACCTCATAAAACTGTAGCGCAGATCCGGCAAAACAAAAACGATAAATTGTTTTGTGTTGTGAGGAAGAATCTTCTGATTCCGACTGTGCACCCCTAATGAAAATAATTAATGGCAGTGTATTATTTACTGTTTTGTCTTGTTTGCCAAAACTGCAAATGTTGAACCAAGCATTTAAAACCATCATCTCTTGTTTAGCTTATATTTTTTCAGTGTACACTTTAGTTATTATAAAAGTTTTTATGCATGGGTGGGATCTCCTCCCACCACTGAGTGTGACGTTTGTCAAGGTGGTCATACCAGAACTCCTCTAAGTGTGTTGAGCTGTTCTATGAAGTTGCGTTGGCAGCAAATGGGTTCAGGCCTGGGTTCAGTTCCCTGGCCAGATGACCAGGGTCCTTTCTGTCTCACCGTATCTGCGTGGGTTTCCTCCCACAGTCCAGAGACATGCAGCTGGGCCAATTGGAGATGCTAAATTGCAAGTGTGTGTGTCTGCCCTGTGATGGACAGACAACAGGCAATGAAGGCCGAGAGGCTCCAGCACCACCGCCCCCTGACCCAGACGGATAAGCGGCTTAGAAGATGAATGAATGAATGAATGAATTGGGGGTTTAAAAGACAGAGAGAAAATTACACACACACACCTACTGACCACTTCATTAAGTCCACCTCCTTGTTTCTGTATCACCTCCACTGTCCGTTTTATCAGCTCCACTACAATATAGTTTCACTTTGTAGGTCTACAATTACAGACTGTAGTCCATCTGTTTCTCTGCATACTTTGTTCACCCTGTTCTTCAATGTTCAGGACCCCCACAGGACCCCCACAAAGCAGATCTTCATTGTCGGACAAAAAACTTGTATCTCCAAAAAGTAACTCTACAGAAGGAAGGAAAAAAACTATAATAAATAACTATTAAAAAACTATAAAAAGTAATCAGTGGGTTGTGGTCATCCTGTTGGGCTGTGCTGGTATCGAGTTCAATTTTTTTAAGGTATTACAGCGTACAGACATTTAATTGAACAGTTTTAAATATAACAAATATTGTTGAGATAATTATTAGCAAAAATGAAACATTATTTTTAGGTCAAGTTTGCTGATTGGTCTGGCAAAACAACATGACTTACATAGCTAGCTGTGTTCATATTTTATATTATTATTGTTTTTATTTATTATTTTGATTGATGGCTTTCATCTCTCATGGATAAATGGCTACAAACAGAACATTTTCAGTCAGATAATGTTTGGTGTTTACTATGTTGTGATTTTATGCAGGTACCTTTGAATGACTTGATCTGCAGTGTGTTTGGAAAGCTTAATAGAACTTAATTACTCTGTTTCTTTCTCTCTGTACAGCAACACGATCTCTCAGCACATCCGCTCCACTGCCGGCTCAAGGTGAAACACACACTGCAGTTCAAGATGGAATTCATGTTAAGCTGCCATGTTAAAACAGGGCTTATGAGTGACATGTATGTTGTGAGGTTTATTTAAAAGGGCCCATATAGTACATTTCTCTTGCATTTTATTTTAATTTGGTCCACATATGACGTACATGTGGTTTTATGTATCAAAAACAGCCATGATTCATGTTAAATGACCGTTTTCTAACCTCTTTGTATCTCTTAGCTGTTTTTGTTACTGTGCCTTTAAGACTGACATATGCAAATGAGCTCTCCATGTATTGCGCCTCATTTAAAAAGATGTTTGTTTTGAAATACTCCATATAACTTCAGTGTGAGTGGGCGTGGCTAAACGCCTATAGGCTGAATAGGCAGATTGATCAATCAGTCTTCAAAAGTATTTAAATCTATTATATGAGCTCCATTTCAGTCTTGTGGCTTTAAATACACAACTTTTTTATTAACAGCAAAAAGTAAGAAGACTCTGGCCAAGCCTGGAGTGAGGAACATTGTTTTGGTCGAGGGTGTCCGCACACCGTTCCTGCAGTCTGGCACCACGTGAGTGAACGTGTGAGCATGTCTGTGTGTTAGTCATCAATATAAGGTGCATTTTTATCGGTTTAATGTTGGCTAAAAATGAAAATTCCCTGATTTTTGGGTGATTCTGAGATAATAATGTCATAGTTACGATGCATACAGTGCTCAGTTAGCCTTAGTCCTAGAATATGTTAGAAGAATATAGTCCAATATGAAATCCACTATGCCTCATGTTAAAGGGGAACTCCATTCAAAATTCAAATTTCTCCATAATTCAATGGTTGAGATGTAAACAGAGTCATTCAGAGTGGTTTGGTGTGAAATGGTTCAGATGTCTTTACAGTGGTGGTGATAGGAACCAGGGGTCACCATGACTACAACACAAATATAGACATTTTATTTACTATCCAGAACCACCAGTGAACGTACACATGTCTTCTGTGTTTATATGAAATATTATTGATGATAAAATAGTGATAAATGTAAAACAAGAAGTTGTATGTGATTTTTTTTGTTTTGCCTGGAACAGATTTTAAAAATATATACTTTACATATATTTTAGGTCAAAAGCTTCTCAAAACTATCATAAACAATGTGTCAAATGGGTCAGACATCAGACAATGTATTCTCAACCATTTCATGATAGTAACTTTCTGTGAGGAGCTTTTAGAGGTGGACGTCTGGTTCCTATCACCACCACTGTGGTCATTCTGACTTAGTAAGTTTCTCTACAACAGCTCATTATCACACCAAACCACTCGGAATGACTTTGTTTGCATCTTAATCATTTAATTATGCAGAAATTTTGAAAATTTGCTGTAATTCACCTTCAAAATCTTTAATTAAAACAGACATGTCATGTTTTGGAATAAACTTTGTAATAGCACATTATGTGAGGTATGCAGATATTAAAGCTGCACTGTGTAAGATTTTTCGTTAACATTAAAAGTAGTAGCATAACTGAGTCAGGAGGATAAAGATAAAATATGGTGAGCGTTTGCTGCTGATAGTCGCCTGTAAAGCCTGAAATAATCATTTAAAAGTCAGAGGCGTCGTGTCGGGAGTTTTTCACACCACGTTGTACGTCTTTACGTGTTACCGTCACACGCACAGGCTCAAAAAGAAAGTCTGGCTCGATATCAAACGCACAATCAACATTATACTGATGAAGATATGATGACTAGTAAATAATTCACTCACATCCTAGGAAGACGCATCATTCACCAGGTTTTGAGTTCTCTTTGGATGAATCTGGTGATTGAAAGAGAATTCACTCAGGGAAGGTCCGAAGTACATCCCACATTACTAAACGTTCTTCCGCACGTTGCATGCAATTGCACGTTTCCACCAGAGAGGTCTCCAAATCCCCAAAACTTACATAGTGCAGCTTTAATATTTTAAAAGCAGAATTTCAGATTTGACTTGAGTGATTTACCTGAATGAGTCATTGAACTCAATGGCCTGAAAGTCCCCCTTGAACAGTAAACGTCTACTCTTTCAGTGTTTATATGGCTCAGTTTGTTTCTTTCCTTTACAGATACGCTGACCTGATGCCTCATGATCTGGCCAGGGGTGCCCTGAAGTAAGTGCAGTCAGGGCTTTGTGAAGCTAATGTGCTGAACATTTAAAGGGCCCATGTCCTATTATTTATCTTTCATTTTATTATTTTGAGATCCTCGTATGACATTTGTGTGGGTTTATGTACCCTATTCACTTTTACATGATCATTTTCCAGCCTTTCTTCATCCCTTACAAGTAAACTCACTGTTTTCGGTACTGTGCTTCTAAGACTAATAGATGTAAATGAGCTCTGTTCTGATTGGCTGCCTTGTATTGTGCTATTGTGCCTCATTCAGAAAGCACTCCGGACTGAAACACTCCTTATAACTTCAGTGTGGGTGGGCGGAGCAAAATAATTGTAGGCTGAGTAGGTGGACATATGCAAATGTGTTCACTTTTTGTGACATCACAAAAACAATTGAGAATGGTCTACTTTTGTAGCTTAGTTTGTATATTTGTAAACACACAGATATGTATATATACAGATATAAGGAGATAATTACAGTGCATTGTTTAAAATTTGTAACAAAACATAACACAACTAAAAACAGTCTGTAATATTTAAACCCACATTATGTAAGTTATTAACATAGTCTTATGCAAAAATTGACGCCCTGCTTAAATTAAATGTTATATTTTGAAAATAATTGAACACTCCTGCACGTTTTAATGCACAATTACTGTTTATTTCCCGAACTGAACATAAATAAAGCATAAACTGTGATCTGTGCAGAAGTTATGGCACATTTTATATTGTAGGTTTTGTTTTTTTTTTTCTCAGTATGTTTAACCCAGGAAATAAATATAAATTGTGCACTAAAATTAGTAGAATATTTAACTGTGCTGTCTGTAGAGGATGTGTTCACTTATTTTCAATTAGAAAATCAACAAAACTTGCCATTTGTTCAAACATTTGCATGAGGCTCCATATAAAATAGCACCGATTGTTAATACAGCCAGTGATTCCAAGCTTTTAAACCTTAGTGAGCTGCACAAAATGTGGCCAACTGAAATGATCTGAAATCTAGTCAATATGTCTAATATTTCTCATGTCAAGGTTGCTGTGAGCTTATTGTAAGATTGTTTAATTGATTTCTAGACATTTGTACTAGTTTTTGGGTCATGTTCTAATGCAATCAAGTGAAATTACCTCACTATATTTAGCTTATATTAAGAGAGATTTTTATAACAAGCTAACTGATCTGCCAATATAGATATAACTTTACTTAATGACTTAAAACAAGTAAAACTATCTAGAAATCTGTTAAATAATCTTATGATAGGCTTACAACAATTTCAACATGAGAAATTAAATATCGACTAGGTTTTTAAAACAAATCTTGTGGGTTTTCTTCTCATTTTTTGTGTGTGCCTGTTTCTGCAGAGGTCTGCTGAACAGAACTGCGTTCCCTAAAGAAGCTGTGGATTACATCGTCTATGGAACGGTCATTCAGGAGGTGAAGACCAGCAATGTGGCCAGAGAGGTCAGTCTATGAGTAATCTAGCTTACTTTGACTTCATCTGAGCAAAGATTATCAGACTTTAAAGCTGGGTCTACCAATTAAATTGGCAATTGCCCCCCCCCCAACACACCCCAAATGTTGTACAGTAATATGCATAGGTTTGGGTGCCCCAGTGAGATTCCATGTTGTGTTGGTTTTCTAAGTTAAAATAAGTTAACACGTCTTCTACAGGGGCTGCATTAAGACCACTGGATCCATTTATTACATAAAAAAATAAATAAAAAATAAAAATATTTGATATCAGACTGAAATGCGTTGGGGTGGTCTCTGCTGATGTAATCCTAAAATCCCCTGTGTTGCAACCAATCAGTATTAAAGTTTATTTGCCTTCGTCTTCTACAGAAATGACTCGTTTTTATTAATTATGGTCAAACCAAAAATTAAACGCTTGTTTTGTACTTTAAGTATAATAGAAAAAAAGCTGAGTCAGTGTTGGTTTTACTGTTTTACGTTTGTGTTGATATAAAAGCCACAATACAGAATATGTTATTGCATCCATACTTTACAGTGATTTTAAAATGTGTTATTAAAAAGTGTTGTTCATTTGTTTGGAGTAGAATTAGATATTATTTTTCAGTGCTTTTGTGGGCTTGGATGTAATAATGGTGTATGTATGTGTGTATGTATGTGTGTGTGTGTGTGTGTGTGTGTGTGTGTGTGTGTGTGTGTGTGTGTGTGTGTAGGCTGCGCTGGGTGCAGGATTCTCAGATAAAACTCCAGCTCACACTGTGACTATGGCCTGCATCTCTTCCAACCAAGCCATGACTACAGGTACAATTATTTATTATTATTATTATTATTGTAACAGAAACCCATGTAAGAAAAAATAAAGCCAATATATTTAAACAAAAAGTAAACGTGAAGTAAAATTCCATCTAATTATTCAAAACATTTTAATACTAAAGACGAGCAAAAAAATTTATTGAAATGCTTTAGTTAAATATAAAATGAGTTTTTCTAGGGATGCGCTAGTTTTGTTTTTTTCTTGCTGATGCTGAAACATAAACATTTCTGAAAGGTTTTTTTGCCCAATCCTAATTCTTATTTTTACCCCTACCCCTTGTTTTCGAGTGTCACCCTATCCCCTTGGAACTGAGTTATAAGGGGTGGTGGTTGAAATCTTCCCTACTAAATGGGACCCTCAAATAAAAAGAGCATCACTTCATTAACAGCTACTAGCGCTGCTCTGTAGGCGACCCTGCCAGTCTGCAGTGACAGCAGAGGAGGGTAAAGTTCAGCTCCTCACTGCTGGGCTTTAGATACATTTAGGGCTGAAGTCAGATATTCACCAGCTTCTTGTTCAAATTTTCCCGTTCCACCTTAAATGGTGCAGCAGTTCTGGCGCCAGAATGTAACTGCTGCATCATTTAAGGTGGAATGGGAAATTTAGCTAGCTAGCTACCAAGACATCAGCACTACTAGTGACTACTAGTAGTTTTTTTTAATTTTGTTTTATGCTCGTTATGAAGAAAAGGACCAAAATACACTGAAACGACATTAAACTAAGATAATATTATGATTATCGGAATTTTTAAACAGAGAAAATTCTCACATTTGTGGGTTTCTTTGGTCTCTTGTTCTCCATCTTGCTGGTTTTTCTTTTTTCCTCATATCTCTCTGTTTGGAGTCTCTGAAAAACCTCCGTTTAGAGGGTCATGTAGCTCTAACACTTCACCCTACCCCTCTATCTCAACAAGAATCAGGACACCCTACGCCTAGACGTGAACGCGCAAAACGGAGGGGGAGGGCTAAGTGGTGGGGCGAGGGGTGTCTCTGCTGTAGTGTGTCTGAGCCACGCTGTGCAGTTGTTGTGTCTGTTGTGTTTTGTAGCCGTGGGCTTGATCGCCTCCGGTCAGTGTGATGCGGTCGTGGCCGGCGGAGTCGAGTTCATGTCGGACGTCCCGATTCGCCACAGCCGTAAAATGAGGAAGACGATGCTGTCGCTAAACAAGGCGAAGACGGTCGGGGCCAGACTGTCTCTGCTGGGATCTCTTCGCCTCGCACACCTCGCACCTGAGGTACTACAATACCCATAATGCACCTCACACCTGAAGCACTGTCCTGCCCTTGAGGACTTCTCCCCTTCAGATACTGAAAGTGCTGGTGATGAGTGTAATTTAGCGACTTGGTTTATTTTCTATCCTAAATGACCACACAGTACTCTGGAGACATCTAGGCGACTCTTGGCTGAGAGACTCTCTCTTCTCTCTTTCTGCTTCTCTCCTCTTTTCTTTACTCTTCTCTTTCCGTTCTTTTCTGTTGTCTTCTTATTTCTTGTGTATCTCTCTCTTCATTTATTCTCTTCTGTCTTTCCATTTTCCTCTGCTCTTCACTTCTCCTGTCTTTTTCTTCTCTTCTGTTCTTTTCTGTCTTTTAATTCTTCTTTTCTTTTTTACTCTCTTCTTTTCTGTTCTCTTATTCTTTTGTTGTGTATCTTTCTCTTTCTCTATTCTGTCCTTTTATTCTCTTCTGTCTTTTTCTTTTCTTTTCTTTTCTTTTCTTCTCTTCGGTCTTTTTCTTTTCTTCTCTTCTCTTTGGTCCTTCTCTTCTCTTCTCTTCTCTTCCATTGTCTTTTTCTTCTCTACTCCTCTGTTTTGCTGTCTCCTTTACTTTACTTCTCCTCTGTCTTTCTCTTCTCTTCTCTTGTCTTCTATTGTCTTGTCCTCTTTTTCTGTTTACCCTTATTTTTTGTTGTTCATCTTTGTCTCGTCCTCTGTTCTCTTCCTTTGTCTTTCTTCTTTTTGTTTCTCTTATGTTTGTTTTGCTCACTTATTTTCTTCTTTTGTATGTTTCTGTCTGTCTGTCTGTCTCTCTCTCTCTCTCTCTCTCTCTCTCTCTCTCTCTCTCTCTCTCTCTCTCTCTCTCTCTCTAGCTCCCTGCAGTGGCTGAATTCTCCACAGCAGAAACCATGGGTCACTCCGCTGACCGTTTGGCCGCTGCGTTCGGCGTTTCTCGGCACGACCAGGACGAGTTTGCTCTGCGCTCTCACACACTCGCCAAGAAGGCTCAGGACGAGGGTCTCCTCAGTGACATCGTTGACTTCAAAGTGCCTGGTGGGCCTCATGATTCGTTATTCTGAGGGCTGGACGTCATTTAAAAAAAAACAAAAAAAAACATTTATTTGTAAATGTGTTGATCACAATAACTGAATTATAGTAATTATGCTTACAGTAATATTCAGTAAAGCATTCTCACATTTTTGAGCTAAAGTTTTATGATGCATTGAATTGTTTCCTAAAGGATCCAATATGAAATATGAACTGGTCAGTCAGTGAAGTGAGACGGGAGGTGTTCGAGTCATGCTGCTGTTCTTGCTTTGTTGCAGGGAAGAACATCGTTTCCAAGGACAACGGTATCCGGCCCAGTACCATGGAGCAGATGGGCAAACTGAAACCCGCTTTCGTCAAACCGCACGGAACCGTCACTGCTGCTAACTCCTCCTACCTGGTCAGTGACCGGTCATGTTTGTTTTTTGCAGCCTATCTAGCACTGACGCCACGTCCACCTACTGTAGTTCATCACTAGTTGGACGTGGCTGTTAACCCAGCTGATATTAATCCACTGTGGCTGCAGTGACGGTAGCAAATGTTCTTCTGTATCTTGCTTGCAATTACATATTTCCACCACAGGGGGCTCCAAATCCCCAAACTTACTCAGACTGCTATAAGCCGGACATGAAGACTGTCTGATAGGAATGAACCTCAGCTCTTATGTTGGATTCTCCATAATTTTGACTGTTTAACAAAAAATCCTGATTTGTTAAAAAATGTGCAAAAATGTAAACACTAGATTTTGTGTGTGTGTGTGTGTGTGTGTGTGTGTGTTAGACTGACGGTGCCTCTGCTGTGCTGATAATGTCAGAAGAGAAAGCTCTTGCTATGGGTTACAAGCCTAAAGCATACCTGAGGTAAACAACACAATTCTGTACAATAATGATGCGCAGCAACATTAAGAGCAACAGTGCTACACAATATAATAACACAACAGTGCTACACAATATAATAACACAGTATTACACAAAATAACACAAGTGTTACAGTCATAATAACACAGCAGCGCCACACAATGTAATAATAACACACCAGTGAAATGCTACACAGTATAGTAGCACAAAATTGCTACACAAAATAACACTGCTAACTGCAGTGCTACATAATATAGTAACACAATATGATAACACAACAGTACTACACAAAATAATAACACAACACTGCTACACAAAACACACCACTGCTACACAAAATAACACAGCAAAGCTACACAAAATAATAACACAACACTGCTACGCAAAACACACCACTGCTACACAAAATAACACAGCAAAGCTACACAAAATAATAACACAACACTGCTATGCAAAACAACACTGCTATACTGCTAACTGCAATGCGATACATTATAGTAGCACAATATAGTAACACAACAGTACTACACAAAATAACACAACACTGCTACACAAAATAGTAACACAACACTGCTATACAATATGGTAACACAACACTGCTACACAGAATAACACAACACTGCTACACAGAATAACACAACACTGCTATACAATATGGTAACACAACACTGCTACACAGAATAACACAACACTGCTATACAATATGGTAACACAGCAGTACTACAAAAAAGATGCTACACAAAGTAACACAACCCTGCTACACAGTATAATAACACGACAATGCTACACAAAATAACACTCATAATGCTACACAATAGAATAACACAGCAATGCTATACAAAATAACAATGTCGCAATGCTAAACAATGTAATAGTAACACATCCAACGCTACAGAAATCAATAACACAAAAATGCTAAACAACATAACACAACAGTGCTACGCAGTAACTAAAAAGTGCTACACAATATAACAATAACACAGCAATAATGTTACACTAACAAAAAACCAATATTACACAATATAAACACAACAACGATGCTACACGCTAACAACAGGACTAACAGCGCTACAGAATTATAACTATACATTATAATTAGAACGGATCAGAGCTTCATAATAACAATAACAACGCTACACAACCCACACACTCAGATCTAGAACTCAGATACGCCCCCTGGTTGCCACACACTGAACGACGGCGCGGCAGGCGAGTCCCGGTTCTTCCTGTGTGTTTGGTACTGAAAGTTTTGTGTTGTTCTTGTTTGTTTGTTTTCGTTTCAGAGATTTTGTGTACGTATCCCAGGACCCTAAAGACCAGCTTCTGCTGGGGTGAGTGACAGCTTCTTTTCAGCGCTCGTGGCTTTCTTCTCTCGTTCCCTCTGTTTTTGTTTTGCTGTTTTTTGGTAGCGTTGAGCTTGTAGTTGTGCTGGTAAAGCGGCGAGCGGCTCTGCTGCGGTTTTGTTTGTGTCGATCGCTCGTTTTAAACTATGCATGCTGTGTACATTTGCGAGCTGCTCTGGCTGCTTCGATGTGCTCAGCCAGTGTTTACTGCTCAAATAGGAGTCACTGCAGTTTTTATCAGGGACGATAAAACGATCATTATTCCTTTACAGAACTTCTGCTCCTGGTATTTAATAAAAAAAACAGGATCTCATTTTAACTGAAGCCCCAAACCAAGACTGATATATAGGGAAAGCGGAGCACCACCTAACACATTTTTGCTTTTTGTGAAATAATTTTAAAAATACTTAAATTGGAATAATCATATTTTTATACAAGCAACATAAACATCTCTGCTACAAAGCAAAACTTGCACTGTGTTTCTAGCACCTACTGTTTACATACAATCCCACCCAAAATGACAGGAAGTGCAATGTTACAGTTACTGTAACAGACAGAGGGTCAGTTTAACACCTGCTAGAAAAGTCTGATCAATCAGTGCAAACAAAGTTAATTCAATATAATTCTATGCAAGGCATTTTATCTTATGATTTTTTTTTAGGACCTTTTAAGGCATTTTATTTTATTTTTATTTATTTATTTACGTATTTATTTATTTATTTATTTATTAGTGAGTTTTAGTTTGAAGCCCTTGATGCAAGTTGTAGTTGTAAGAGTGAGGAACATTCAGGCCTAATGGGTTAAATATGTGTTTTACTTGCTCCACAACAAAGAAAATTTTTGAAAAATGTGTCGGTCTGTCGTGATTCTCTCTCAAGTTTTTTCTCTGGAAAACTTCTAAAAAAGCGACGTGTATATTTCAGCCCGACCTACGCCACCCCGAAGGTTCTGGAGAGGAGCGGACTGACGCTGGCCGACATTGATGTGTTCGAATTCCACGAGGCGTTCGCTGTGAGTGTTTCTTGTTCTAATTTTTTATTTTAATTTTTTCACTGGTTCAATTTTTATAGCTCTTTCTCCTACCTAAGGTTGCTTTACGGAAGTTTCCCGTAATCACATGAACAATAAATGTATTAATCCCATAATCAATACTTAAAGCCTCAGTCTCAGTGGTGGATGTTTAATATTTACAATGTTTTAAAAGGGGAAAAAAAGAAAAGCAAGACAGAAATATAAAAAAAAAACACTGCTTAAAAAGTGCTGATCAGACCTGTCTGAGCGCTTTGTGGGCGTGGTCCTAATATTCTAATGAGCGTGTGTGATTGACAGCTCTCAGTCCAGCACTGCCAGCCTGCTGCATCACAGAAGCAGAGCTAAACACAACAGCACAAAAGCAGCTTTTATATGGAGACGTGTTAAAAATGGTTCTTATTCACTTTATTGCTGGATGTGCATATTTAAAGGGGAATTCCACCATTTATTCAAAATTTCTGCATGGTAAGATATAAACAAAGTGTCTCAGCGGTTTGATGTGAAATATTCCATTCTAGAGAATCAGAATTGTTCACGGTGGTGGTGATGTGAACCAGACGTCCACCTCTAAAAGCTCCCTCACAGAAAGTGATTACATGATTATGGATATGCTGCCTGATATCAGAGACACTGTTTTAGGACAGATTTGAGAAGATTTTGTCCCAGAACGTATATTATAAGAGGAATTCATGGTGGAGAGAAGGCAAAAACGGCCCTTAAAGAAGACTTATTTTTTCAAATATACCGCTGTTTTAGCATCATATATTACATATAAAAATACAGAAGACATGTTTAGGTTCACTGGTCACTTGGATGAAACCACTTTTAATGACTTTCTTTGCATTCCAACAAATGCATCATACACAAACTTTGAAAAATCACTGGAATTCCCCTTTAAGCGCTCCTTTGTGAGTGTTCTAGTGCCACCATGTGGCCAAATTATAAAATGCAGGTTTTTAAAGGAGCCCAATTAGGCCTAATGTGTTTTTTTTTTTTTCTTTTCAATTTTTCTTTATAATATAAACAACTGCTCTGATTGGCTGTCCTGTATTGCACCTCATACAAAAATAGTCCATATGAATCATTATTCATAATCATTTCCAGCCTTTCTTTATCCCTTAGAATTAAACGTGCTGTTTTTGTTACTGTGCCTCATATATGTAAATGAGCTCTGTTCTGATTGGCTGCCATGTATGTGCCTCTTTCAAAAAGCAGTCCAGGCTGAAACACTCCTTATAACTTCAGTATAAGTGGGCGGGGCTAAACTGCTGTGGTCTAAATAGGCAGCTATATGTAAATGTTTTGGTTGTTGTGGCATCACAAAAACAATACATTTTAAAGGGGCTGTTTTTGCAGCTTGGTTTCCATAAATGGACTGAATGGACTGGAGAGTGATTATAGATTTTAGAATTTTAGTAATGTTTACACACTACATCAAAGTCTTATTCCAAAAAGATGAGCAAGTTTTCAATTAAATGGGCCTTTAAGTTATCAGAGTTCTCCTGTAAATGTTTGTGTGTAACATGGAACACGATTCATTGTGTATGTTATTATTTTCCATTTCATTTTTATGTTATGCTGCTACTTTTTAAATGCAATTTAATGTTTATATTCGTTCCTTACAGGGCCAAATTTTGGCTAATCTGACCGCCATGGAGTCGGACTGGTTTGCTCAGAACTGCATGGGCCGGAAATCTAAGGTAGGCGTGGTTTTGTGTGGGATTGTTTATGTGCCCCTTTGTCAAATTGCATGTTTTTGTTGATTTCAAGTGAAAAAGTTGAAAATTTAACATTTTGGGGGTAGAAAAATAAAACATATAATATGGCCTGTGCAAAGGTTATGGCCCTATTTTTAATTTTTTTTCTGAATATGTTAAATATGTGAAATAAATAAATTTTATGTACTAAAATTTACAGAAAAATACCTTATTTAAAAATACAAATTTAAGTTTGTTCCATTTAATGGATGGTTTAACTTAGAAAATCAGCAACCAGGGGTGTTCAAACTTTCGCATACGCCTGCATGTGTTTTAACCCTGTGTGTGCTGGTGTCTCAGGTTGGCGCCCCACCGATGGAGAAGTTTAACCTGTGGGGCGGGTCGCTCTCTCTGGGACATCCGTTTGCCGCCACCGGCTGCAGGCTGGTTACTACGGTAGCCCACCGGCTTAAGAAGGAGGGGGGCCAGTACGGGCTGGTGGCAGCATGTGCTGCAGGAGGACAGGTAAGATCAATACACCTGGGTGGACAGTACAGAGAAACTGCACACGGAGGGGAATTCGCTCTGTATGGTCTTTGACTTACATGCTTTTTATCGTTGACTCTAATAATTATCTTTAGTGGAAACAGAGCAACTCAGTATCTTTTCATTGTAACCTTTTTCTCCTCTGGCTTTGAAAGCTGCTACGTGTGTTTGTTAGATCCTGCTGGTGTGAGTTCATGGCTGGTCCTTCTCTAAATAGCGAACATTAAAGTGACTCAGCTAATAGCGCCCCCTGTGTTCCTTCCTTCCTTCCTTCCTTCTTGCCTTCCTGCCTTCCTTTTTTTCTTACTTACCTTTCTGCCTTCATTCCTGCCTTCCTTCCTTCTTTCCCTTTTTCTTCCTACCTACCTTCCTGCCTGCACTCCTTCCTTCCTTCCTTCCTTCCTTCCTTCTTGCCTTCCTGCCTTCCTTTCTTCCTGCTTTCCTTCCTTCCTTCTTGCCTTCCTGCCTTCCTTTCTTCTTGCTTTCCTTCCTTCCTTCCTTCTTGCCTTCCTGCCTTCTTTCCTTCCTTCCTTTCTTCCTAACTACCTTCCCGCCTTCACTCCTGCCTTCTTTCCTGCCTTTCTTTCTTCCTGCTTTTCTTCCTGCTTTCCTTCCTTCCTTCTTGCCTTCCTGCCTTCCTACTTACCTTCCTGCCTTCATTCCTGCCTTCCTTCCTTCTTTCCCGCCCTCCTTTCTTCCTACCTACCTTCATGCCTGCACTCCTTCCTTCCTTCCTTTCTGTCTTCCTTCTTTTCTGCCTTTCTTCCTATCTGTCTTCCTTCCTTCCTGCCTGCCTGCCTGCCTGCCTTCCTTCCTTCCTTCATGCCGTTCTTCCATCCTTCCTTCCTTCCTTCCAGTTGTGTGTCCTGAATTTCGGTCAACAGCTTCCATTTCTGTGCATCACTACAATGAATGTTTTTAATATTTGAGTACATTAGTGAATAATAATAATGTGCTGATGTTTATGTGGAAACCAAGAAAGAATCTGAAAGTCTTTAGTGTTTATTTTAGCTGATGTTTTTGATCTGTTTTGAATCTCTGCTGTCTTTTTGTGCACTTTTTTCTCATACTAACATGCTCTTCCTTTCTTTTCTGTTTCAGGGCCACGCGATGCTGATTGAAGCTTATCCTCAGTAGGACTTGACAATGTGACGCGGCATCATCTGTAACTAACATAAACACACGCATAGACATACAGACGCAGTGCAGGACGGATTCTGTAAATAATAATGCACCGTAATGCCTTGAGAGAGTATCTGTGAATGTGATCTGAATGTATGGGCAGGTGTGCTGTTGAGGCTGTTATCACAGGGGCGACTATAGCAAGAAGATCTTATTAGCACAGTTAAACGCTCTTAAAAACAATGGTTCTACAAAGGTTCTTTAGTAAAGAAAATGATTCTTTATAGAACTGTAAACTCTCAAAAAACCCTTTGCATGATTAAAGGGTTCTTTGCATAATTACATGGTTCAGATTGATGGAGAATGTGCTGAACATGGTATAAAAGTTCCATATAGAACCTTTTTCTTTACTGAAGAACCATTGAAGAACCATCTTTTCAAGTGTATGCCGTACTGACTTTTCTGAAAATGGCTAAATGTCAGCTTGTTTTCCTCTATCTTGGCGTTATAACTCAGTGATCTCAGTTCAAACTCCTCTTTTCAGAATTGCGTTGATAGTTGATTTGCTGTTATATCAGATTCCAGATCAGGTTTAGCTCTTAATGAAGAGCCGATAATCAGGTCTAAGAACTAAGGACACTCACCCAGACTCTCGTGTGGATGCCAAGGCCGACTGTTTTCATTGTGTCTTTACTTTTTTTTCTTTTTGTAGTGATTTTGTCAAATAAATAATCTAATTTAAAACTATATTTTGCCTTTGGTCTCTGTATCATACTTAAGTGCACTTAGGGTAACTGAAAAAAAACAGCATGCAGTCCGAAAAAGTCAATCGAAAAAAAAAAACAAGCACAAAAAAAAACAAATTCTACACACTAACATTAGTTAGAATTCCACAGTCTAAACTTTCTAGTTAGAATTCTACACCCTAAACATTCTAGTTAGAATTCTACACACTAACATTCTAGTTAGAATTCTACACACTAAACATTCTAGTTAGAATTCTCCACATTCTAGTTAGAGTTCTAGTCTAATCATTCTAGCTAGAATTCTACACACTAACATTCTAGTTAGAATTCTCCACATTCTAGTTAGAATTCTAGTCTAATCATTCTAGCTAGAATTCTACACACTAACATTCTAGTTAGAATTCTCCACATTCTAGTTAGAGTTCTAGTCTAATCATTCTAGTTAGAATTCTGCACACTAACATTCTTGTTATAATTCTACAGTCTAATTATTCTAGTTAGAATTCTGCACACTAACATTCTAGTTAGAATTCTACAGTCTAAACATTCTAGTTAGAATTCTCCAGACATTCTAGTTAGAATTCTAGTCTAATTATTCTAGTTAGAATTCTACACACTAACATTCTAGTTAGAATTCTACAATCTAATCATTCTAGTTAGAATTCTACACACTAAACATTCTAGTTAGAATTCTACATTGTCTAAACATTCTAGTTAGAATTCTACACCCTCACATTTTAGTTAGAATTATAGTCTAAACGTTCTAGTTAGAATTCTACACACAGCATTCTAGTTAGAATTCTACACACTAACATTCTAGTTAGAATTATGCACACTAACATTCTAGTTAGAATTTACAGTCTAAACATTCTAGTTAGAGTTCTACACACTCACATTTTAGTTAGAATTATACAGTCTAAACTTTCTAGTTAGAATTCTACACACTAACATTCTAGTTAGAATTCTACACACTAACATTCTAGTTAGAATTCTACACACTAAACATTCTAGTTAGAATTCTACACACTAAACATTCTAGTTAGAATTCTACATAGTCTAAACATTCTAGTTAGAATTCTACACAATTACATTCTAGTTAGAATTCTACACAGTCTAAATGGTCTAGTTAGAATTCTACACATTAACATTCTAGTTAGAGTTCTACACACTTACATTCTAATCAGAATTCTACACACTAAACATACTAGTTAGAATTCTACACACATTCTAATCAGAATTCTACACACTAAACATACTAGTTAGAATTCTACACACTTACATTCTAGTTAGAATTCTACACAGTCTAAATGGTCTAGTTAGAATTCTACACATTAACATTCTAGTTAGAATTCTACACACTAACATTCTATTTAGAATTCTACACACTAAACATTCAAGTTATAATTCTAAACAGTCTAAATAATCTAGTTAGAATTCTACACACTGTCTAATCATTCTAGCTACAATTCTACACAGTCTAAAAGATCTTTTTAGAATTCTACACAACGTCTAAACATTATAGTCAGAAATTCTATGTAACAGCTAAACATTCTAGAACACTAATACGCAGATTGGAACGCGGCCAGGCTGCAGTCATACAGGCTAATGGGCTCTTTAGTAAAGCAGTAATAGTAATATTTCCAAACTTTACTATAATATTAGTAGTTAAGTAGTTTATTCAGTTTAACCGCCTGCAGTCTGTGACTGTGGGCTGATGACAGTGCGCAGCCTGTGTATTTAGGCGGTTCTCTCTCAGCCCCCTGTTGACTGTAGGGTGTCAGAGCCGCAGCCTCTTTGACCCGCGACTCGCGGCGTGTTATTTTTGAACTAATAAGTGAAGATTGCAGGCTTTTGGCGCCGCGTTACGTCACGTAGCCCCAGTTTGGTGCGCGCGCGCGTGTGTCCCACCGGGGTCGCGAGAGCGGCGGCGTCTGCGGGGAGCCGCGCGCCTTTTCACGAGCGATGTGTTTACCGAGAGAATCACGGATTTTATTTTTTTTTTTTTGAAGCACCCAGAGGATCCGCGCGCTCATCTGCTCCCCTCGGTGTGTAAACACCGCCGGTGGTCCCGCGCGGAGATTTCACCACCGTTTTTCTTGCGCGCGCACACACAAACGGGGCTCCATCTCCGCATCCGCGCGCTAAACGGGCTGTTTTTCCCTTCAGATTGTTCCCTCGCGCTCACCCCAAACAGCGCCTTCATTAAAATTAGTATTTAAAAAAAAGCAAAAACAAATTAATTCCTGTATTTTTTTAGCCCACAAACAGCGCGCGCGCCTCCAGCCGCTCCTCTGTTTGCGCATTAAGGCGGTTATTTGTGCAAAAGTTTTCAGGAGGTTTAGATATTTTGAGCGCGAGCTGCGTGCGTTCCTTTATGTGTGTATGTGTGTATGGGTGTGTGTGTGTGTGTGTGTGTGTGGTGGTGGGGTGGGGGGGGGTGCTGTTTTTTTATCCGCGTGCAAAACGGAGTAAAATGTAAATAGCGCTGCCGTGTCGGGAAAAGGAGTCTCTCTCAGTGTGTGTGTGTGTGTGTGTGTGTGTGTGTGTGTGTGTGTGTGTGTGTGTGTTTTGTTTTAACCAACCTTCAAAAAGCCTCCAACCCGCGAGAGGGGCGCGCGCTCCCCGCTTTTCTCCGCTGCGGCGCGCGCTTTGATCAGCCGCGCGCCCTTTTTATGGCGTTTGACTGGAGAAATGCACCCGGTGCTGTCGGTACAAATCTGCCTCAGAGAGAGAGAGAGAGAGAGAGAGAGAGAGAGAGAGAGAGAGAGAGAGAAAGAAAGAAAGAGAGAGAGAGAGACTCTCTCACGCGCTTTAATCTCGCCCTTCTTTCTGCACGCGCGCCGCTGAGTTCCCGTCTCCGCACCTGCTCAGGTCTCGCGCTGTGAAGAGGAGCGCGCTCGCGCGTGCGTGTGTGTATGTGTGTGGTGTGTATATGTGGTTTGTGTGTGTTACCTGCTCGTCGTTTAATAACTTATAATAATAATAGTAATAATAATAATAATACATATCATAATAATAATTGTTAAAATTATCATTATTATTGTTAGTGTTAGCAAACCACCACTAATACTACTCTTAATAATACTCATAACATTATTATTACTAGTAATATTGTTGTATTATTACTATTATCATTACTATTAATACTTATCAGTAATAACACTGCTCTTACTACTAACGATTACTTTTATCACTATTATTTCTAATAATACATATAACATTGCTACTATTAATGATATTTATAAAAATATACTGCTGATAATAATACTCATTACTAATACCAAAATTAATACTTATTATTACTGCTAATAGTAATACTTATAACACAGCTACTACTAATAATAATACTTCACATCATTACTACTATTAATAATACTTAACATGGCTACTATACTAATGACACTACAGTATAACATTATTATTATTAATAATAACACACAAAATTACTTCTGCTACTAATAATACTTATAACATTGCTACAACTATTAATGATAATGCTTACAACCTTACTGCTACGATTATTATTATTATTAATAATAATGTTAATAATAATAATTGTTGTTATTGTTGCCACTCACCTTTTAAATAACAATGAAAGGCCGAAATATGAACCATTAGAGTCTGTGGAGATACAGGTCCTGATTCAGGTGTGTACAGGTGCCAATAGAGTGATGTCAATCAGGGTATTAAAGGGGAATTCCACCAATTTTTCAAAATTTCTGTATAATGCAATCTTTAAGATGATCCAGAGAAACTTACTGAATCAGAGTTGTTCACAGTGGTGGTGATAGGAACCAGACGTCCGCCTCTAAAAGCTCCCTGACAGAAAGTTACTACATGAAGTGGTTGTGAATTCACTGCCTGATGACTGAGACACTGTTTTATGATAGTTTTTTTTAGTTTTTGGCCTAAAACATTTTTTTTAATCATTTCACAGTTTTAAGGCATAATGGTCCCCATAGAAAACTTATTTTTCCAGATTTGCTACTATTTCACCATCATCACCATTCCATATAAACTCAGAAGACGTGTAGGTTCATTGATGGTTTTGGATAGTAAATAAAATGTCTATATTTGTGTTGTAGTCATGGTGACCCCTGGTTCCTATCACCACCACATCTGAGTTTCTACAATCAACCATTTCACAACAAACCACTCTGAATGACTCTGTTTTCATTGCAACAATAGAATTATGTGAACATTTTGGATAATTCCCCTTTAAAGGCTGTAAAGCCCCCCGGGCATTGGGCTGTGGAGCAGTAGAACTGCGTTCTCTGGAGTGATGGAGCTCCATCCAATACCTTTGGGATGAGTTAAAGAGATCCAGAACTGACCATCAACATCAGTACCTGACCTCACTAATGCTCAATCAAATCCTCACAGCAATGTTCCAACCTCTAGTGTAAAGCCTTCCCAGAAGAGTAGAGGCTGTTACTACAGCAAAGGGGGACAGACTCACTATAAACACCCTTCATTTCAGAAGAAACGCTGGATGAACAGCCGTCTACAGACTTCTGGACAAATTAGGATGTGTTAACTTATTTTCATTCAAAATCAACAAAACAGGTCATTTGACCACAGTGCCCACCACAGTGCCCAAACCACAGTGCCCACCACAGTGCCCAAACAACTTTATGCATGTGCATGTGTATTCTTTGAGGTAAGGGTCCGCTCCATAGCTGTGTTTGGTTCTTATGAAGGCCCCATATGGTTCCACAAGCAGTTAATTAATCATCTACAATAGAAAATCAACTGAAAGGCAAACATCACCTCATATTAGTCCAGTGGGGTCAAGCTGTGTCAAGAAAAGCTCCCTTGTGGATGAAGATGGTGAGCAAATTGCTGCTCTTGCATGATTCCCTGACCACAGTCTGACTAAATATGGTTGCCTTAAGGAAGTCTGCATAGAGGAAGTTCAAAAGTTTGGAATCAATGTTTTCAATAATATAAAACTAATTTTTGTTACATTTGTAATTTTGTTTCATAGAACAAAAATTATAAAT